GGAAAGGGAGAGAGAAGAGAGAGATGAAGGGAGAGAGTAGAAAGAAAAGAGAGAAAGAGAAAGAAAGAAGAGAGAGAAAGGGAGAGAGAAAAAGAGGGGAAGAGAGAGAGAAGAGAAAGGGGAAGAAAGGAGAGAAAGGGAGAGAGAGGAAAGAGGGGAAAGAGAGAGGAAGGGAGAGGGAGATAAGAGAATGAGAAGAGAGAAAGAAGGAAGAGAGAGAAAAGGAGCAAGAAAAGTGAGAGAAAGGAAGAGAGAGGGAAAGAGAATGAGCAAAGACATGGAAAAGAAAGGGAGAGAGAGAAGACAGATGAAGGAGAGAGGAGAGAGAATAAGTGAGGAGAGAGGGAGAGAGAGAATGAGGAGAGAAAGAGAGGAGAGAGGAATGGAGGGAGGAGGGAGAAAGAAGAACAGAGAGAAGAGAGAGAAGGAGGGAGGGAGGGATGAAGGGAGAAAGAGAGAGAAAGAGGAAGAGAGAAAGATGTGAGAGAGAAGAGAGAATGAGAGGAGAGAGAGAGGCATGAGGGAGATAGATCGATCGATCTATCCATCCATCAGTGCCTGGAAGCTCCTTAGCGGTTCAGCAGGACTTGCTGGTTGATTGAGAACTAAGACAGCCAGTCTGACTGGACCTAAGAGTGCATGAAGAGGGGTGATGTGTTCTAAGCCTGGAAAGGGAGGCCAGAGCCAAGTTATGAATGGTTAGCTATAAAGTGCTTTACATTTATTATTTTATTTCTAGGACCATAGAATTTGGATATGGAAAAGTCCTTAAAGATAATTTCACCCTTCTCTCATTTTATATGTAAAAAAACTGAGCCACCAGGAGGAGAAGTAATCTGCCTGTCATCACACATTTACTCAAATAGCAGAAGCAAAGTTTGAACCCAGGTACCCTGATTTCACATCCAATCTTGTGAGTGAGGTGGTGGCAATATCATCATCCCCAATTTACAGAGGAGGAACCTGAAGAATAGAGAGTCCTCTCAGCTGCCAGGAGCAGAGCCAACCCTTCAATCCAGTGCTTCAGACTTCAAATGAATGACTCCTTCCAAGACCCCATGTTGAGGAGCTTCCCTCCCCTCCCCTCTCATTCTGCATCCTAGCAAGAACATTGCATTTGGAGATATGCTTTGCCCCTATTGTGGCAGCTTCTGAAGAGGACTGGTGGGTTCAAGGTGACCCACCTATACCAATGAAAAAAATTTACTAGGATCTCTTGTGCAATAAGTGGGTTAGGCAGAAGTATTGGAAGAGAAGTAGAGAGAGAAGTAGCATGACGATGAGGAAAAGACCAAGAAGCAAAGTCATAGTCTTAGAATGTCAGAGCTGGAATGGACTTTCAGAATGATCTAAATTCCCTCTCATCCCTTTCCTCCCTCTGAGGGTCTTTTGTCACACAGCTAGTAAGTGACTGAGCCAATACTGGACCCAATGTCTGGTGACTTTAAGCCCTGTGCCCTCTCTGCTCTAGCACATTGGGGAAACCTTCCCCTGAGGGTCAGCCACCTGTCCGGGACTAACCATGCCCACAAAATCCTGACTGGAGGCAAGGGGTTGTAGCCTATGGACATAGCATCCTAGCTTTAGAGTGGATGTCTAGTCTAACCTCCTTCATTTTACAGATGAAAAGACTGAGGCTAAGTTAGGTGACTTGCTCAATGTCACACAGCTAGTCAGGGATCCCAAGGCATCCAGCTGCCCCTCTTCATGCTCACATTCTGTGATGGAAGGCATGAGGGACTGGTCCTCAACTTTCTTCCCTCTACTGGATGGGGAAACCACTTCCTGCCCTATGCCCCCCATTCATCCATAGGGCCCTAGGTTTAGGGTTCTTCATTGATTCCCAGTATTTGTTTTGCTCTCCCTTGTGGAGGCGGGGGGGGGGGGGGGGCAGGATAAGCTTTCAAGCCAGATGAGAGAGCAGCTGCTGGGTTTGTCCAGGGCAGTGAGGCCTGATTAGGTTTCACATCCAAGGCAGAGGGTGACTGGAGCCAGCTCCAGAGCGCAAGCCAGGCAGGCAGAAGTCATGCTCTCCCCTCCCCCACCTTCCCATGGCCCAGGAGACCCCTCAGAATGGTTCTGGGGGGAGGGGGAATTGGACTGGACAGGCAGTGCCTGGGCAAGACCAGGGCTGCACCTGCACCCAGTGTCCCTGGCTAGCTTGGGATTCTAACTGAACCATGGACCACTTCCCGGGGGTGGGGGGGAGGAACTCTGCTTTTCTATATGAAAAATGGGCAGAATCTCCACCTGTCTTCTCTAGAAGAGTGTAAAGAGAAGTGAGACCATTTCACCTTTGGACTGGTAAGAATTTTCCCCTTTGCATTAATACTTCCAGTGCCCTTGCTCTCTGTCCTTCAAGGACCTGCTGCAGTGCTCAATTCTCCATGAAGCCTTTCCTACTCCCCTGATCTGGAAGGGATTTCTTCCTTATTTGATCTCAAAGCACCTATCATTCACATCTATCTATCTATTACATGTATACATACACACACACACACACACACACACATACACATATATTTGTATTGTTTTCCCTCCCCCTACCTTTCTCTGTCTCTCTCTCTTCTTCTTTCTGTCTCTCTCTTCCTCTCTTTCTGTCTCTCTTTCTCTCTGTCTCTCTCCTCCCCTCTCTCTCCCTTTCTCTGTCTCTGTGTCTGTCTCTCTCTCTCTGTCTCTCTGTCTCTTTTTGTCCCCCCATCTCCCTTTCTGTCCTTTCTGTCTCTCTCTCTGTGTCCCTGTCTTTTTCTCCATCTCTCTGTCTCTGTCTCTTTCTGTCTCTCTCCCTATCTCTCTCCAGCTTTCTGACTTACTTTCTCTCTCTGAATCTGTCTCTCTCTTTTCACACACACACACACACACACACATACACACACACATACACAGGACTTGTACTAGAGGCCTAGCACAGTACCATGGTCAGAGTATTGGGTCAGGAAGACCTGAGTTCTGATGGAATCCTGCTTCTAGCATTTCCCAGCTGTGTGACTGGAAGTTGTTAAATAATATCATGAGTTACCAGTTTATTGTGATTTGCATCAGTGGAAGAGTTTCCTGAACCAGGAACTCCTACATCATAAAATCTCCAGATCATAGATCCCAGGGCTGGAACAAATCTCACAGACCATCAAGTCCCACCTCTCATTTTGCAGTTGAGGAAACTGAGGCCCAGGGAGCTTGTGACTTGCCTAAGGTCCTATGGCAACAAGTGTCCCTTGACATGTTTGAAAGTAATAGGAACCATGAACTGATCCAACCATTTTGGAGAGCAATCCAGAATTGTGTCCAAAGAGTCATAAAATTGTATATACCCTTTGACAAAGCAATATTGCTATTAGCTGTTTCCAAAGATGATCAGGGGAAAAGGAAAATAACATATATGTTCTAAAATATTTATAGCAGCTCTCTTTGTGATGGCAAAGAGTTGGAAATTGAGAGGATGCCTGTCAATTGGGGAATGGCTGAACAAGTTGTGGTATATGATTGTAATGGAATATTATTGTGTTATAAGAAACGGTGAGCTGGATGCTTTCAGAAAAACCTGGGAAGACTTACATGAACTGATACAAAGTGAGGTGAACAGAACCAGGAGAACAGTGTACACAGTAACAATGATATTATATAATGATCAACTGTGGATGACTTAACTCTTCTCAGCAATAAAATGATCCAAGACATTTCCAAAGGACTCATGATGAAAAATGCTATCCACCTCCAGAGAAAGAACTGATGGAGTCCAAATGCACATTAAAGCATACTATTTTTCAATTTCTTTTTTCCCCTTTGGGTTTGTGTCTTTTTTCACAACATGACTATTATGGTAATAAATGAATGAATGAATAAACAAATAAATAAATAATGGAAGGAGCTACAAAGAGTGAAGACCTCCTTTTTCTACATCTGTGTTTTTTTTTCCATAGAGAAGCTTGAACTGATGGTAGAGAAGACTTAGTCCTGTCCTCTCATTTTACAGATGATGAAACTAAGGCCCAAAGGGGAAATGACTTGCCTAA